CCTGGAGCCTGTTTCAGTCTGTGACTCCCTCTCTCTCTGACCCTCCCCTGCTCACGCTCGCTCTCTCTCTCCTAGAAATAAATAAAACATTAAAAAAAAAATAAAATAAAATAAAATTATGATAATGATGTTAGCAAAAATAAAATGTAACAAGGGGACATCAAAATACTTTATTATCAGAATGTAATATATAGAAGATCCACCCAATCCATATTCTGTCTCTAACAGTACTAGCAAACATATTTTATGAGAGAATTCAAGATAGGTAAAAGCACATTCTAATTCATACTCATTTTATTATGTCTGAGGCACTGGGTAATTATCTTCTCCCAGATTGTCTCCTGTTTTCTGATGTTCAACATTCAGCCATTAGAAAGTTATTCCTTTGACTAAAAACATATTCTCTGGCAGGAAGACAACATGCTATCCGATATAAACATCTAAGTGGACATGAGGTTATCAGATGCATTCCAAAAAGAGATTATGGATTCACAAATATCCTAGAAGCAGAAAAGGAAAATTATCCAAAGGGAAAAGAAAGGCAACCAGATGCTCCGAAGACAAACTTCACTTCAGTCCCAGATTAAGCTGGCTCCACCACTGGCGAAGGGAAACCAGGAACTTTTTATGGATAAAAACGGATTTTATTTAAGAGAAAAATCATGTGTGATTTTACATTTGTGTAATTATGAAAATAGATCTTAATAAAAGATTCCAAAGGTTTCAGGCTACTTTTTTCTTTCAAATACTGTCAATGATCCAAATACTTGAGATATTTGCGTAAAAGAACATTATCTACATAGAACACTGCCCTGTCTAAAATGTTTTTATAACAACTAAGTGGAACTATAATTTTTAGGAAAACACAATGAAATGACAAACTCTTAAAAATCATCTATTTTTAGACTTTGCTTATACATAAAAATAATGTAAAACCATGCATTAGATTGGCAGGTCTGTCTTTTGGCAGCCAAAGGCACAGCACCAAGAATGTATAATTATAAAATCACTCAACAACTATTTTGTCATGCAGTATGGCAGGTAAATAGTGGTTGCTTTAATATGTGAATTATTTTAGTATCTGGTTATGCAAATGTAGACATTTGTTCAAGTGAAGGTTAAGCTTCTGAGAGGTAAGGGCTACTATCCCTTGAGAATAAAGGAAGTGTAACAAAGGAAGGGTAAGTTTTTCCTTTGAGTACTTCTTTCAAAAGTATTCATAGGGGCGCCTGGGTGGCTCAGTCGGTTAAGCTGCTGACTTTGACTCAGGTCGTGATCTCAAAGTTCGTGAGTTCAAGCCCTGTGGGTTCAAGCCCTGTGTCAGTCTCTGTGCTGACATCTGGGACCCTGGAGCCTGGAGCCTGCTTTGGATTCTGTGTTTCCCTCTCTCTCTGACTCTCCTCCTCTGACATTCTCTTTCTCTCTCTCTCTCTCAAAAATAAATAAACATTAAAAAAAAAATTTACTTATAAAATTTCAAAACAAATGTGTATTTATTCTTTTTACGTTCTAATATCCAAAAGTATAAAGTAAACTATGAACATCTCCCTATTACCCACTCTCCCTGACTCAGTCTGTCATGTTGGCTTTGCTCACATGTGTATGTATGTGCAAGCTCAGGTGTGTGGACACAGACACAGAGAGAAAGAAACATTCTTCAGACTGTATTGTCAGTGTTATCAAAACCTAATGTAGAGATTTTACAGCGCTGAAGATGGATCCTTCTAGCTGTGGGGGTCTTCGGAACTAGGCTTTTTTCACCATTATTTGAACTGTCTTATGAGAAAACCTTTAAGTAATTCAAATAGGAATCATGGATATTTATAGTCCAGGGCTGTGCAGTTCAGCACTTCACAGTTCTAGCTGCTACAAGCAAAAAAATTAAAAATTTATGAATTAAAAAAAAAAAGAATCAATATGTGAACCTTGAAAGTTTATTGAAGTTCAGTTTAAATATTTACCTCAAATTTTACAGAACTTTCCAAAAGTTGCCCAGCTTTTAAGAGTCTGCACATCTAAAAAATGGGAAGAAGTCTGATGAGCTTCTTGATCTTCCTTGGGGAGAGGAAGGGATGCCTCCTCTCTGTGGAGAGGGAAACACTCTGAGCAGAGACGCTCATGCAATTTTGGTACATTGTTTTCAGTCCTAATTGAAACTAGGAAATGCAGGGAAGTGTGATAATGAAAATAACACGATCAGGGGAGTGTGAAAATTAGGTGACATTTTTCCCCCCACAAAATCTGTAAAAACAGACTAGCTTGAGTTTGGGGTGTGATTTCTGGGTTATATGTGAGGAGAGGTGTCACCCAGCTAGCACCATGACACCAGCGAGGGAATATCCTTCACTTCCCTGTGGCTCCAGGCACAAGGCAAGAATGCTGCTGAAGAATAAGCACAGGACTGTCCCCAAATCAAAGAAATGCAGAGGTGAGGTTGGGAGTGGTGACACATTCAAATTAGACCTAGTTCTTGCAGTTTTGAGTGTTCTATGAGTCTCTCTGTGAGTACTGAGCACAACGCGTGCCTCACAGAAGTACTCAATAAATGGTCATTGGTGCAGCTGTTGTTATGCTTTGTTCTTTTTTTTTTTTTTTTTTACAAATAGTTTATTGTCAAATTGGTTTCCATATAACACCCAGTGCCCATCCCCAAAAGTGCCCTCCTCCATGCCCATCCCCCCTCCCCCCCACATTCATCAGTCCTCAGTTTTTGTCAGCATTCAAGAGTCTCTCATGGTTTGCCTCTCTCCCTTTCCCCCACCACTTCCCCCTTCTTCTCCCCCATGGTCCTCAGTCAAGTTCCTCCTAATCCTCCTATACGTGCAAACATATGATATTTGTCCTTCTCTGCCTGACTTATTTCGCTCAGCATAACACCCTCAAGGTCCATCCATGTTGCTACACATGGCCAGATTTCATTGTTATGCTTTGTTCTAACTCTAAGGGCATCACTGCCACTTCCATCATGGAGAGCAACACTTCTTTGTTATGACTACACAAATCATTGGCAATGGGGAAAATCTTTCCCAGCTATCTGAAACTTCAAAATTGACCTCAAGGGACCCCTGGGTGGCTCTGTCAGCTAAGTGTCCAACTCTTGATTTCTGCTCAGGTCATGATCTCATGGTTCATGAAATTGTGCCCCATGTCCTTGGGCTCTGTGCTGAATCGCTACTTGGAATTCTCTCTCTCTCTCTCTCTCTCTCTGCCCATCTCCTGCACACTCTCTCTGTCTCTGTCTCTCTTTCTCAAAATAGATAAACTTTATAAATAAATAAATAAATAAATGTGTAACCAAAATATTTAAAGAGGTTTTACAACTCAACACCAAAAAAAAAAAAAACCCACCACAAATAATCCAATTAAAAATTGAGCAGAAAACATGAACAGACATTTCTCCAAAGAAGACACCCACTTTAGCATCCTCACTTGTAAAATGGGAGTGATAATATTACTACTTCCCAGGGTAACCCTAAAGTTCAAATAAATTGTTACATGAAAATTGCTCATAATAGTGCCTACTACCACGGGATGCTATAGATTTGCTATTCTTATTGTAACGATGAGGATGAAGAGTTCTGTCCAACCCTTAAGCACCAGCATTAGAAACGTGCTCTCGGCCACACCTCTAGTTACGTACTGACCCTCTGAGAAATGTGTATGACTGTCCTTTTTATATCCAGTAATCGATTACAATAGCTGCGAAGTGGAACATATGCTACCTAAGTGTAGCTTTTTTTTCCCCAAGAAAAACTGATGCCTAAGAATCTTCCCAGTGCCTCTGCTATACTTTTCAAAAGCAAACTTAAATCTTTCCTTGCTGTTTTTTGAGCATCATGTGAAAATGATTAGAACTGTAACGTTTATGCTCTATTTAGGAAAAGAACAACATTTTCTAGATTATTGGGTAAATTATATTTACTAGTAGCACTGTTAACTCTAATAAGTTTTTTGGACCAAATTAGCCTATTTAAGAATAAATAAAGCACAATAAACCCATTCTCGCTAAAAAAAAAATCAATAAATAATGCTTTTAATTCACTTTGATTACTGCACTTGGCAGAGTAACCATGTCATGAAACTGACACCACAACGAAAAGCATTATGCTGATAAAAACAAGTAAGAACAAGCCAACAACTGAGCTGCAGAAAGAAAAATTTATGCCCGGAAGTAGTTTCTGCCATGAAATGAGAAGCTTGGGCTCTGCCATTGGCCACAGCATGAAGAGAAGCAGTTCTCTCTTGTAAATTGCACGCATGGCAGCTGAATGACATTATCTCCACCTGTGCAACAGTTCTTTCCGCCAATGGTTTCCATAAGCAGTGTGAAAACTGCCTCTAACATCTCCATAGTAAGCTGTGCTAGTGGACGAGATGGCAGGCCAAATGGGTATGTACTAGATTCATTTATCATGAGAACAGACCACCAACTGATGACTAACGACTAACACTTGGGTTGTATTGGCCTGATGATGTCATTCTGAAATGCTGAAGCAGAAGCACTCATTTCCAAGAGGTGATAATTGATGCTAATTTCAGTTTAAAAATTCATGCAAAGCATCCTTTTTTCCCCTTTGTTTCCTGGAGTCTAAAATGAGAGTTTAAAAGGAAGGAAGGTCAAAGGTCAGTAAAAGAAGCCCTAGAAGGGGTCCCTGCACAGATAGACCAGAAGGAAGATGGGTTGTCAAGTCAGGAAGACCTACTCAGACTGTGAGCTTTGCCTTGCACACCATGTTACCCGAGGCAAATTCATTTCCCATCTGCAGACTCAGTTTTCTCAATAGCAGATGGGAATAACAAAATCTATCTCAGGGCTATTATCAGAATTTAATGAAATGTAGGCATCCAGCACACACAAAAAATGACTCTTTTTTTAAGATTATTTTTGAGAGAGTCAGAGAGCATGAGAGGGGGAGGGGCAGTGAGAGAGGGAGAGAGCAGACGTGGAGTCGATGCAGGGCTTGAACCCACAAACAATAAGATCATGACCCGAGCCAAAATCAAGAGTAAGAAGATTAACCAACTGAGCCACCCAGGTGTCCCTAAAATGACTCTTTTTCTTGGTCTTTGACATGGAGGAGAGATCCCACGGCTCCCCTGTATAAGAGGACTGGAGACAAGCTGGGTAGCCCTGGAGGGTGAGATGAAATCTCTGGAGCCTGGAGATGCAGGACGTATCATGCTTATAGAGAGCCTTGAGACCTGGACTGCAGTCTCCCCACTGGGAGTGACGTTGTCTCCTGGAGTGCAGTCAGGAGGGTCCTGAAGTCCATCTCTACGGTCTCCCATCTTCACTGCTATCTTTGTTCACTCCTATTAACCAAACCATTGCAGGAGGGGGATGCCATTACCATACTATGCAGGCTTCCAGTGAGGCTTACAAAAGGCTCTTCTTACTGCAAACTTCCTGACGGCTCTCCCACCATCCCCATTAGGTGTGCAAGCTCTTTATATGATTCCTTTAAACAGACAGAATGTTAAGAGTCTCAAGCAAGCATGTGATTCCAATGTCAGTTTCTCAGGCTTCTTTATATACTCGGATGGGAAGAAGAGGGACTTTTCTTAATTTCTACTTTACAGGTTGTTATTGTTCCAGTATTCATGCCCCTCTCTGAGACTGAGGCATAGACTTAATAATTCACAAACAGTATGAGGGAGAAAACAGTTTATCTTGCATGTACCCAAAATCCAAAAACTAAGGACAAATGTGGAGGTATGCAGTTAAAAGCAAAGAGCTCTAATTGAAACATTTATAATACCTTCTTCAGATGAAGGAACACAATGTGGTCTTGATGTTCTACCCATTTACCCCGCCTAGTATTCAGTAATACCCAGGAAGATCAAGTTTAATACTACCACAGGCAAAGAGGCAAGAGAGGATTGTTGTTCCCTCTTTTCCTTTCTCCCTCTGTTAAGCTCCAAGGAAAAGTGAGTTTCCAGAGGTAGGCAGTGAATGAAAGTGAAGAGATGTTTTATTTCACCTCTTTAAGTCAGGTTAAATCAAACTTCTGCCAGAAAACATCCTGGCGGGGCACCTGGGTGGCTCAATCACTTAAGCGTCTGACTCTTGGTGTTGGCTCAGGTCATGATCTCATGGTTCATGGGTTTGAGCCCCATTATCTGGCTCTGTCCTAACAGTGAAGTGCCTATTTGGGATTCTCTCTTTCCCTTTCTCTCTATGCCCCTCCCTCACTCATGCTCGCTCTCTCTCTCTCACTCTCTCTCTCAAAATAAATAAGTGAACTTTAAAAAAAGAAAAGAAAGGAAAATATCCTGGCAATGTATCTAAAGCTACAAGATTGGCAGATGTATCTCCTTTCACAGCCAATCACCCACCCCCTTTCCCATTAATCCCCTCCTCTTGTGAATGGCCAAGAAATACATGGGAAAGAAGAGGAGGATGCTACACAGCCGATTCAAGAGTTTTTCAATTCATTGTTATGCAAAAAGAGACTCATCAAGAAATATGCACTAAACACATCTATAATCTGCTAGGTCTCACTGCTTCCTTCAAGCATATCCTGACAACACAGCCTCTTATCTTTATTTCGTCATAAGGGGATATGGTGGTACCAAATAATTTAGCATGTCACACCTTGGTTATGTACTCCAGTGTAGTGGTTAAGAGCATAGACTCTGGACACAGGCAATGATGTAAAGGACACTATGAAGATGGTGAAAGGCATTACCTGATGAGGGATTAATATCCATAATATATAAAGACCTTCTATGACTCAAAAAACAGTAAGATAACCCCATTTAAAAATGAACAAAGGATATAAATAGGCATATCTCTAAAGAGGATTTACAAGTGGGCCAATAAGCACATGAAAATATGCTCAACATCACTAATCACTAAGGAAATGCAAATCAAAACCACAATAATATACTATTAGGATGGCTGTTAGAAAAAAAATATTAGCAAGAAGGTAGAGAATTTGCAACCCTTGTACATTGCCAGTGGGTTTTAAATGATGCAGCCACTGTGGAAAACAGTATACAATTCCTCAAAAAATTAAACATTGAATTATTATGGGTTGTAGCAATTCCACTTCTGGTATATACCGAAAAGAATCGAAAGTAAGGACTCAAACAGATATTTGAACATCCATGTTTATAACACCCATGTTGTATATGTACACTTAACCACAATAAAAATTATATGGGAGGGGTGCCTTGGTGGCTCAGTTGGTTGAGTGTCTGACCTCAGCTCAGATCATGATCTCACAGTTCATGGGTTGGAGTCCCTCGGTGGGCTCTGCACTGACAGCTCAGAGCCTGGAACCTGCTTTGGATTTTGGGTCTCCCTCTCTCTCTCTGCCCCTCCCCGACTTGCTCACTCTCTTTCTCTCTCTCTCTCTCAAAAATAAACATTTAAAAAAATTTTAAATATATATAGGAATTTGAGAAAAATGATCCTAACTTCCAGAGCCAAAGTTCATATTTGCCAACCTAGCTACCCCATACTAGCTATGGGGCATGTAATTTAGCTTTCTGTTTTCTCATCTGTAAAATGGGATAATCAGAGGACCTAGTTCATAGGTTCTTGTAAAGTCTAGGTTCTTGTAAAGTCTATGGCAGATGACAAAAAGAAAATCTTGGTGCATAATAAGTGCACAAAACATGTAAGCTATTATTATTGTTTCTTTGTATAGATGCTAAAAATAAACCAATGCTATGGACAAATATTTCTTCCTTTTTAGCATCCCTCAGAGCATTTTCTATACATTACTTATTGACTAATTTATGTTTTCATACACAAAGAGAAACCTTACGGACTCCTATCAGTGGTTGTTTTTCCAACACAGAATATAAATTAATATCAATCCATCCATATTCTTGAATAAGCCTCTTTGAACCAAAGATATATATTTGTAGACAGCTGGCTAATGCTGAGGTATTATCTTGAAAAGGACTTAATTCACATGGTTATATTCCAAGGCCAAGAATTATGAAGTCCTCCCATTGCTTTTATATTACTGTAATCAACCTATAGAACTAATCACAGGGTACAATGTAATCAGGACATCACCGTTTAAAGAAGGATTCAGGGGTGCATGGGTGACTCAGTCAGTTAAGTATCTGACTTTGGCTGTCATTATCTCATGGTTTGTGAGTTCGAGAGCCTCATCTGGCTCCATGCTGACAGCTCAGAGCCTGGAGCCTGCTTCAGATTCTGTGTCCCCCTCTCTTTCTGCCCCTTCCCTGATTGCTCACTCTCTCTCTCTCTCTCTGTCTCAAAAAATAAATAAACATTAAAAAAATAATAAATAAAGAACAATTCAAAGTAAGTTAGATAGATAGTAAACCTCTGGGCTTCAAAAGCTGCAACCTTCTTAGATTTTTTCATATCACTGAGGAAGGGATTGAGGTGTGAAAGACATACAGACCATCATTAATAAACTATGGCCCAGATAACATTGAGGTCCCACATTAAATGTAAAAGTAAGTATATCTAAAGATGCTGTTGTTTTGAGTTGATAGCATGAGATACAGAACATTTGCTAACTCTCTCTATTAAAAAAAATTAAATAAAAGAGCTCTACCCCAAAATCTGTTGTAATATAATATTAACACTCATTCTCAGAAATAAAAAGTGATTTCTGAAATGTACATCATTTTTACCAGCTTTTCCTAAAATGAGTTTTTTTAAAACCTTGGTTGATGCTGGCTTCCAAAATCATCTTCAATCTGAGTGAGAATAAATTCATTTAACGGTTTATTTCTCCAACAATTTGAGTGACTATTTCCCCTAGATATCTTTTTCAAAGCCCACACCCTAAAGCTTCATAATTCCATTAAATCAGCACACAGCTGGGCAATTCTTTCTTTGCTCACATTATAGTGGTCCCCAGGGAATTTATGTAAATCTATGGAAATTCATTTTAAAGTCTGTACTCTGAAAGGGAGGATTCATCCTCATTAAGTAAACGATTATATCTACAAACAAGCTAAAAGCAACATGCTGGAGAGCTAAATTAAACTTTCCATCAGGAAAACTAAACCATTCACTTTCACATATAGGCTTTACCTAAATGCTACCAGAATCAAAAGACAAAAGATTCTGATGAAGTCCAAACAGATAGCAAGGAAAGTATAGCTGAGCCACTACGGCAGGGCACAGCCTCCTTTCTGGTACAACCATGGAATGCCACTTTGGGCCATTCTATAGGAAATGGTTCACCTTTATAATTCACAGACTCTCAGGAAAGACTTCTTATGTAGGGTGTAAGGAAATGAACTCACAAAGTCCTTCAAAGGGCTCCCAAGTCACCTCTAAGAATGCCCCAATAAAACTAGAGCATCTGAAGCTTAAAGGAGAGGATATTGTATACTGAAAAGATGACACAGGCTTTAAAGTTAGACTTATCTACATCCCACTCCTACCTCCTTCACCTACTAGCTGAGTAAATGACCTAGACTTCATAGTATCAGTTTTATAATTTGTAAATGGGGAATAATAATAATTCTTGATATGTTATAAATTTTTAATGAAATAAACTATACAAAACACTTTGTCCAATGCCCAGAACATGGTTGGCACTCAAATGCCTTCACCTGCACCCAAAAAAAATGAAGTCTGAACAAGACCGAAGCTCTAGAAATGGGAGCTAACTGGAAGAGAAAGCAGAGAATGCCTCCCCTTAAAAGTTTTTGATCCTCAGCCAACTATGGGGCCTTCCTGTCTTAGTAGATCTGCTCACCTTTCCTACTGCTGAAAAAGTAAGGCTAAAGTAACTTATGAGAACACTGACTCAATATTGCCACAAGCCCTTTCTTCTTAAGCCATTCCAACATCTACTCTTTTCTCATATCTGAAAGCTCCATACTGTACACAAGTTACATCTTGGTTCTAAGGTCAGAATTAAAAGTGACAGTATCACATGATCAAATTTACCCATGAAAATCTCTTAGGAAGGTCTAGTATTGGAATAGTCCCTCAGGAAGGTGAGCATAGGTCATTTTCCATTCATTACTAGGACAGATTGCTGATTCTTCAGTTTAGCCCAGGTGAACAAGCTGGCTTGAGTTTGAGATCCATGTAATTTAAAAAACATCTATATAGACATACATTCTGATAGTAGATTCATATACCAATTTGCAAGATTCTCATGATCCATAGGAGGTAAGTGGAACTGAGACCAACAGATGAAAGGGCAGATCCCCATCTCCATGCACAAATCGAGTGGAATAACTGGTGAGATAGCCTACACTATTTATGTATTTATTTTAGTATGTCTTTAGTTTGCAAAGCAATATGACATTTACATAGGTTAAATAGGCCTTAATCAAATGCAAGTATGATATTATACCACATTTTATTTTTGTGTTACTGAAATGATGTTGCAGTCAACGGTAAACCCTACTAGTCAGGCCATGTATGAGGGCTGATAACTCTCCCCTCAAGGAGAAAAAAAGAGAGAAGTCTTCATACTTTAGGAATTAAGACAAGACTTGGTCACCACAAGTAAAAATCTATAAAGAACAAAAATACATGAAGGATAAAATGCTACCAAACAATGACTAGGTCAACAAAGCAATCAAGGAGGAAATCAAAAGATGCATGGAGACAAATGAAAATGATAACACAATGGTACAAAATCTTTGGGATACAATAAAATCAGTTCTGAGAAGGAAGTTTATAGCAATACATGCCTATGTCAAGAAGCAAAAAACAAACAAACAAACAAATATACAAACTAAGCTTACATTTAAAGGAGCTGGGAAAAGAACAAACAAAACTAAAAACCAGTAGAAGGAAGGAAAGAAGAAAGATTATAGCAGACATAAATAAAATAGAAAATAAAAACACAATAGGACAATGAAACCAGGAGCTGGTCTTTGAAAAAAATCAACAAAATTGACTACCAAAAAAGAAAAACAAAACAAAACCAGAGAAAGAGAGAGAGAGAGAGAGAGGACTCATCAAAATCAGAAATGAAGAAGCGATATAACAACTGATACCACAGAAATACAAAGGATGTTAAGAGCATGTTATGAAAAATGATATACCAACAAATTGTACAACCTAGAAGAAATAGATAAATTCATAGAAACATACAATTACCCAAAACTGAACCAAGAAGAAATAGAAAATTTTGATTAGACTGATAACCAGCAACGAAATTGAATCAGTAATCAAAAACCTCCCAATAAACAGAATTCTAAGACCAGATGACTTCACAAGTGAATTCTACCAAATATCTAAAGAAGAGCAAGTACCTATTCTTCTCAAACTATTGCAAAAAAATTAAAAGAGGAAGGAAATCTTCCAAATTCATGCTACGAAGCCAGCATTACCCTGATACCAAAAATAGATAAGGATACCACTGAAAATGAGAACTAACACAGGCCAAATATCTCTGATGAACGTAGATTCAATAGATGCATAAAAAAGAATCTGACAAAGTACAACATCAATTCATGACAAAACAAACAAACAAAAAAACAATCCTCAGTGTTGGTTTAAAGGGAACATACATCAACATAATAAAGGCCATATATAAAGAAACCACCACTAACATCACAGTCATTGGCAAAAATCCCTGAGAGCTTTTCCCCTAAGGTCAGAAACAAGACAAGGATGTCCACTGTCACCAGTTGTATTCAACATAGTAGTGGAAATCCTAGCCACAGCAGACAAAAACAAAAACAGACACAAACAAAACAAAACACACACACACAAACAAATAAAAGGCATCTAAATTGATAAGGAAGAAGTAAAATTTTCACTATTTGCAGATGATGATACTATACATAGAAAACCCTAAAGACTCCACAAAAAAAAAAAAAAAAAAAACCAGCTAGAACTCATAAATGAATTCAATAAGATTGCAGGATACAAAATCAATACAAATAAATCCATTACATTTTTATATATTAATAATGAAGTAGCAGAAAGAGAAATTAAGAAAACAATCCCATTTTCAACTACACCAAAGAATAATAAAATATCTAGGAATACATTTAACCAAGGAGGTGAAAGACTTGGACTTCAAAAACTATAAAACATTGCTGAAAAAAATTCAAAATGACACAAATGGAAAGATATTCATGCTCACGGACTGGAGAACAAATATTGTTAAAATATCCATACTATCCAAAGCAATCTACACATTTAATGAAATGCCTATCAAAATACCAAAAGCATTTTTCACAGAGCTATAACAAATAATCCTAAAATTTGTATGCAACCACAAAAAAAAAAAAAAATCCCAAGTAACTAAAGCAATCTTGAAAAAGAAGAATAAAACTGGAGGTATCACAATCCCAGATTTCAAGATGTACTACAAAGCTGTGGTAATTAAAACAATATGGTACTGGAACAAAATAGACACATACATCAGTAGAACAGAATGGAGAGTCCAGATATAAACCCACTATTATATGGTCAATTAATCTTTGACAAAGGAGGTAAGAAAATATGTAATGGGAAAAAGACAGTCTCTTCAACAAATGGTGTTGAAAAAACTGGACAACTACATGTAAAACAAAAATGAAACTGGACCACTTTCTTATACCATGCAGAAAAATTAATTCAAAATGGATTGAAGACCTAAATGTAAGACCTGAAACCATAAAAATCCTACAAGAGAGAAAAAACCGTAATTTTTCTGACATCAGCCATAGCAACATTTTTCTAGATATGCCTCCTAAGGCAAGGGAAATAAAAGCAAAAATTAATTATTGGGAGTACAACAAAGTAAAAAGCTTCTGCACAGCAAAGGAAATTCAAAGGCAACCTACTGAATGGGAGAAGGTATTTGCAAATGATATATCCAATAAGAGGTTAGTATCCAAAATATATAAATAACTTATACAACTCAACATCAAAACACAGAACAAAACAAAAAATCCAATCAAAAAATGGGCAGAAGACATGAATAGACATTTCTCCAAAGAAGTCATCCGGATGGCCAAGAGACACACGGAAAAATTCTCAACATCACTAGTCATCAGAGAAATGTAAATCAAAACCACAAAACCACCTCAGCCTGTCATAATGGTTAAAATAAAAAACATAAGAAACAACAAGTGTTGGTGAGGATATGAAGAAAAATAAACACTGATACACTGTTGGTGGGAATGCAAATTGGTGCAGCCACTGTAGAAAACACTAGAGCAGTTACTCAAAAAATTAAAACTAGAACTATCATATGATCCAGTAATTCCATGACTTAGTATTTACCCAAAGAATATGAAAATACAAATTTGAAAAGATATATATACCCCTATATTTATCACAGCATTATTCCAATAGCCAAAAAATGGAAGCAGCCCAAGTGTCCAGCAATACATAATATATATTATATATGGTAGAATATTAAATATATTATATATTTGTGGAATGGAATATTTTATATATATATATATACATACAATGAAATATTACTCAGACACAAAATATTAAATGTTGCCTTTTGCAACAACTTGGATGGATCTAGAGAGTAAAACAGTAAGCAAAGTATGTCAGAAAATTATAAATACCATATGACTTCACTCAAACAAATAAGCAAATGAAAAAAGACCGAAAAAACCAGACTCGGTAAATCCAGGGAACCAACTGATTGTGACCAGAGAGGAGGTGGGTAGAGGATGGGTAAAAAGTGAAGGGGAAGTAGAGTACGCTTATCATGATAAGCACTGAGTAAGGAATAGACTTGAATTACTATATTGTACAACTAAAAGTAATATAACACTGTATGTTAACTACATTTGAATTAAAATTAAAAAGAAAAAAAAGACAAAGCTTGGTCAGAATGAACAATCTAGTCACTATTACAGTTAAGCTAGCCCCAGAGTCATAGCTATCCATGTCTGTGTCTAGCCCTGTCTCTGTCTCTCTGTCTCTGTCTCTCTCTCTCTCTCTTTTGCTGCCTGCCTGGGTTCTGTCTGTACCATTTACATCTCTTAAACCTTATTTCATTTCTCTGGGAGAAGGAATTCAGACCAGCAAAGTGTTCTCTGGCAGGAGTACCAGATTTTGTTCCAGAAACCTCAAAATACCTAATTTTTCTATTCCATCTTAAGATCGATATTTTGTTTTCCTGCAGCCTCCATTCCTTCAGGTCTTCACCGGTTCACTCCTTCACTCTCTACATGGAAGGAGAAAGACAATAAAAATGGAAGGCAACTTTTAATATTAATTCCACTCCAAGAAACTATGTAAAGATTCTGGCATATCATTTTTAAAATAAACCCAGAGATGTTATGCAATATGTAACAAGAAAAAAATTACTATTCACTTGCTGATAAAGGAAAAATAGTTTTCAAATTCTTAATTTTAATTTCTATTTTCAATGTGAAATATCTAACATGTAAAAATGTCATTTTAAAAAAATAAAGAAGCAGAGATACAGTTGCTCTAAAGATTTGCTGTAAATATTTTTGTTGTAAATATTTTATGAGGAAATAATGCTCACATTGTTATCAAAATTTTAATTTTAATCATTAAAGCCATATTCAATTTTCTACAAAGGCTCTTGTCACTCCTGCAAGCATAATCCACCACTGCCTCCTCTGTGCTCCTCTGGTGCATCTTTATCATAGGTGATGATATTGACACAAGGTATCTTGTATTTCAAATGCGTATACATCTATTTACTCCACTTCTTGCTTCTTGCTTACTTTTGGGGATATAAATTCAGTTTCTTACAAAGAGTAGAGGTTCGATAAATATTGATTGGACTTTATTTGAATTATTCTGTTTAAAACTTTGGGAAAGATGAGAGCACCTTTATGTCCTCCACCCCTGGTCCATCCCTCACCCTCTTAACTAGCTTGTCCAACATTGTCTTCTGAATCCACCGCCTCTTATATATCAATTCACAATCTCTCCACTCCATGTGTCTTTTGTTTCAACCACTGCTGCGGTGACCAGCCTGCAAGGGCTGGGAATGATTTCATTCAGGTAGAACCTTACTAGGGGTGCCTGGGTGGCTTAGTTGGTTAAGCGTCTGACTTTCACTTAGGTCATGATCTCACGGTTCGTGGGTTCGAGCCCCGCGTCCGGCTCTGTGCTGACTGCCAGCTCAGAGCCTGGAGCCTGTTTCAGTCTGTGACTCCCTCTCTCTCTGACCCTCCCCTGCTCACGCTGTCTCTCTCTCTGTCTCCTAGAAATAAATAAACATTTAAAAAAAAAAAAAGAACCTTACTTTATTTTTTTAAATGTTTTATTTATGTCTGAAAGAGAGAGAGAGAGAGAAGGAGAGGGTCAGAGAGAGAGGGAGACACAGAATCTGAAACAGTCTCCAGGCTCTGAGTTGGCTGTCAGCACAGAGTCCGATGTGGGGCTCAAACTCACGAACCGTGAGATCATGACCTGAGCCAAAGTCGGACACTTAACTGACTGAGCCACCCATGTGCCCCGACAGTACCTTACTTTAAGACCAAACCAAATCAGGTGTTTCTCACCAACCCAGAACTTCCTTGTTGACACTGAGGTGTAAGTGGTCTTGTTAAATGCCCACAATTGCACAGTCTGGAACTTCAGGGGAGTTAAGTACCAGTAGAGCAACCTTTTAATCAACGGCCAATAACAACAACAAAACAGATAAATCCTTCCTCTTTCTCAACTCTCTATGGTCCTGAGATGCAGTTGACGTGCCCTTTCACAGGACACCCCTACAATATGAAGCAATCTATATCTGTGCTAATAGTTCAGCAACACACCCTTCTAGCCAGCTCTTTCTCCTCTCCCTTCCTACTCACTCCTGCCTGTCTTAATACAAAGTCACATAAATTCTTACATCAGACTCTGCTTTCTGGGGTGCTCAGGTTAAGACACCTGCCCAGATCACAGTCCCTGCCCAGGGGACATGGTGATGTCTGCGTCAGATAATCCTCCCCACTTTTCAGGGGAGGATTCCACAGAGATGCACACGTAAAACAAAGGCTGTTCATCTACTAACAAAGCCAGGAAGCAAGGCTCTAGATCTGGTGAGAAAAGAAGCTGAACAAGTTGAATTCCTCTCTAGGGAACTCCGGAATAAAAAAAAATTAATAAATAAGGGATGAAGCTAGTAGTAGCAGCAGATTATGATATAAACAGAGAAGGTAGCAGGAGGCCATGCTGCTGCAATTGCTCAATTCAGTAGCAATTATTACTGCCATGTTGCTTCCTTCTCTGTCTTTCAACTTCTTCTTAGATACTTAAGTCAGAGAATAGCTTTCATTTCCAGACCCTCATTCTCATCTTAATTCAGCCCTTTTACCATCATCTCTGATTAATTGAAAAAGCGCTCCTAAACTGGCTTCCCTGAGTTCAGGCTCTTTCTAACTCAGTACATATTATTCACAATTGCCATCTTCTCCAACAGCTCTCATCAAGTCACCTTCTCTTCTAAGAAAAAATTCTGATAACTTTTACTCTTTTGATAAATGTAACATTAAGTGGCTCCCCTCATCATCAATCCATCATCATTAAGTTCAGCTTCATTTTTTATTCTATTATTCACTAGAATTTCACCCTCAGGCCTTATTCTTCAAATGCAGTTTATTTTTTAATGTTTTTATTTATTTAATTTGTTGTTTAATTTTTAATTTGTTTATTTAATTTATTTATTAATTTTCTTTTATAGTTTATTGTCAAGTTTGTTTCCATATAACACCCAGTGCTCATCAAACAAGCACCTTCCTCCATGCTCGTCACCCCCTTTCCCTCCCTCCCCCATCCCCATCAACCCTTAGTTTGTTCTCAGTATTTAGAAGTCTCTTATGGTTTGCCTCCCTCCCTCTCCTTAACTATTTTTCTCCTTCCCCTTCCCCTCCCCCACGGTCCTCTGTTAAGTTTCTCCTGTTCCACATATAAGTGAGTTTTTATTTATTTTTGATAAGGGGTAGGGTTGGGAGGGGCAGAGAGAGAGGGGAACAGAGGATCCAAAGCAAGCTCAGTGCTGACAGCAGAGAGTCCGATGCAGGGCTTGAACTCATAAACCATGAGACAAGTCAAAGTCAGATGCTGAACTGATTGAGCCATCCAGGTGCCCCAAGGACTTCTAGTTTAAAGAGTACTACTATATCCCATGTATTCAGCAACTCTGTATCCTAAAACTTCTGAAATAACCAAAAATTTTAAAGCTAAAACATTTATCTATGTTAGAATATCTGGAAATTTTCCCTTAAAAGATGAAAAGTTTAACAGTTTCTGTAAAATATGGTTCATGACAGGTCAGATTAATGAAAATAATACCAAGCACAATTCAAACCAGCCAACAGATTGAGGAAAGTAGGATATCCAGATCTTAATGAATGACATGATACTAAGGCATTCTTAAGAAGGTAAGAAGCATAGAAAAATAAATGGACAAATAGAAAGCACAAATTAAGATAACAGAATCAGTAAATATATATATTGCTAATCACAATATTTATATATATATGGACCAAACTTGCCAGTAATAAACAGAAATCTTGAGGCAAGGTAAACAAAAATTTCAATTTAGGTGTGCTTAAGAAAGACACACCTATAATATAAAAGCAAAACATGACTGAGAGATATAAACATCAAATAATAGCCCAAAGAAATCTGGGAGAGTTATATTAATATTAAATATTTTTAAAATAAATATATAAAAAATAGAGTTCAAGGTAAATAAAAAACTAAGAGGAAGAAGAGGTGATACTGTGTGAAGATTAAATTTCAAATTACCAGTAAGATTTAACAATTAGATATGTATTATGAACCTATCTCAAATTACATAGTGCAAAACATTCAAGAACTACAGAGAAAAGTTAACAAATCATAATAATGTGAGGATGAAATACACATTTCTCAATTATCCATACATAGTTTAAGCAGGAAAAAAAATTTTGAGTCTATAAAAATCTTTTAAAAATCTATTTAAAATAACCTAACAAAATCCATTGACCACCAACTATCATCTAATGGATTTCTCAACTTCTCAATTTCTCAATTATCCATAGTTTAAGCAGAAAAAAAATCTATACAAGTCTATAAAAAATCTTTTAAAATCTTTTTTAAAAAACCTGAAAAAGTCTTTGGACTTCCAACATTGACTTAATGGATATATAGAGATAAACAGAAAAAGAAAGAGATATTCCATATTTTCTTCTCAAGTACACAAAATTGAATACATCAGTCCATAAAACAAGGTTCTGTGTGTGTGTGTGTGTGTGTGTGTGTGTGTGTGTAATGTGTTTACTACATTGTATAGAAAGAATATATGTAATCTTTGTAATATTTTGTACATGTATATTTGAATATATAATTCATATATATACTATATATATTCTGACCACAATGCAACTAAATGAGAAATTACTATAAGATAACTTTTAACAACTTATAAAAAATCTCACACATATGAGTAAATAGAGTAATATATGAAATGCTTTTATATCCTTCAGCTGTCTTCATGTTATCTAACTCATAGTCAATCTTTTATCATCTATATACCCACTCCTAACTGAATTTTTCTGAAGCAAATTCATTCCATAAATATTTGTAACTATTTAAAAAGGACACTTATAGGGGCACCTGGGTGGTTCAGTCAGTTAAGCATCCGACTTAGGCTCAGGGCATGATCTCACGGTTCACCAGTTCGAGCCCCACGTCAGGCTCTTTGCTGACAGTTCAGAGCCTGGAGCCTTCTTTGGATTCTGTGTCTCCCTCTCTCTCTGCCCCGCCCCCCCGCTCATACTCTGTCTCTCTCAAAAATAAATAAAAACATTTTAAAAAAAATTTTAAAAAGGACACTTTTAACATAACCATAATACCATTATATGTTTTTAAAAATATATAAAAATTACTCAAACATCCAGTCAATGTTCAAATTTCCCCCTATTATCTCATATGTTTTCTTAAGTTTGTTCAAGTTGGGATCCAAATAAGGATAATGCATTGCATTTGATGAATGTCTTTTAAGTCCCAAGTAGCTACATTATTAATATTAAACCCTATAGGATTGAAATTTTAAACCACACTTCCAAAATAACTCACACGTCACAAAAGAAATGATAATGGAACACTGAAAAAACTTGTAACTGAACAATGAGCAAAATAACAATAGTTAAAACTTTGAAATACAATGAAAGCTGTAATTGGAAAAAAAATTTTACCCTTCAGTGCTTATATTAGAAGAAGAAATGGTGAAAATTAGTGCTTTAAACATCCAACTTAAGAATTGGGGGAAGGGGGAGTGAATGATAGAATATAAACAAAGAAAACATGGAAGATACAAAGAAAATAATAGATTGTTGAAATAGAAAACTAAAATACAACACAGGATCAATGGCATAGAATAAAGATAGCTCCAACTCTTTGACTCTCATTCCTTTGACAGGAGAGATCTATTTCCCCTACCCTTAAATCTTTGTTCTATGACTGCTCTAAAAGTATGGCAGAAGTGATGTTTGGCAGTTCTATCTAGGTCTAGACTTTAAGAAAACTTGCCATTTCTATTTCCTATTTCTCTGTATATTCTTAGACTTCCAAATTGCAATGTAAGAAGTCTCAATACTCCATTGGAGAGGCCATGTGGAGAGGCCCTGTGCTACATGGTTAGAGGTTTCCTGGCTAAAGCATCAAGGCACCTGAGTGAAGCAATCCTAGATTCCCCAAACCACACTGACAACCAACTGAATAACACCCCATAAACCTAGCAATACCACAAGAAGTAAAAGAATGACCCTACCTGAATTCTTAACCCACAGAATCATGAGATAATGAAATAGAGGTTGTTTTAAACCAGTATGTTTTGAGGGTAGATTGTTATACAGTAAAAGATACATGGGAGCAATAAATAAAGCCAAAAGTTGGCTCTTCAAAAAGACTAATAATATTTTTCTATACTCTTTAGTGAGATTTTTTAAGGGAAAAAAATAAAACTAAGAAAAAATATATTAAGGGAAAAAAGGATGATATATCTGACTATCTAAAAAGGAGATGACTCTGAATTACAGCCACCAGGCAGGATCATGACACAGGGATGTGGTAGAACAGTACTTGGTTGAAGCATGTATTCTTACACCCATTAACTTCGGGCATGTTATTTAAAGCTATTGGACCTCAGTTTGATCACAAAACAAAACAAAATAGAAAACTAAAGCTCCTTCTATAGGTGTGATTTCTTGATGTGACTTCCAGCATATGTTTAGTCTCTGCTATTTAGAGGGGTTGTACTTTGAAAATGGTGGAATTTAGAGCAAGATACAAAGTAGAATTCAGAAAGGAAACAACCATTTTTACTGATTCCTCTCTTTGCTTAAGGTGAAAAAAAACAGAGAATGATACGATTTTTGAATTACAAAATTTTTACTATGTATATTTAGGACCTTCTCATGATAACAAAGTCAATAAAAATCTGCTGAATTAAAATCACACAAACACAAAAAAATGTTTTCACATTATAGGAAAAAAAACACATTAGCTAGTTTGATAAACATAATGCCTATAATGAAAAAAAAAACTAATTTTTACTCTTAGATACTCCATAAAACACTGCAAATTCTAGTTTTTGAAAGATTTTGCAAGATTTTAAGACTCACACAAATGACTTGTGCAGTGAGATGGCGTGGAGTTCAGATGCAGGTAAGTACTTATCAAAAACATGGCCACAGCTTCTACCTTTCTCTACTTTTCAACAGTAACTTAATATTTTCCTAAGACCTGAGAAATTACTTATTTCTTTCTGAGGGTTATTTAACAGGGAATTTAGCTAATGAAGTTTTATAGCATGTTAAATCTTCGCTGATATTTTGGAATGATTTTGAAACATATGGAAAGAGGGGGTGGGAAGGGCCATAGTTCTATCAAAATGTTCTAGCTTGTTACCTTAGATAAAATTAAAAGCTGCATCATGTTTTCACCTTAGTTTCTGGTAAGGAAGTTTATTAGCTTAAATGCCTTTTCAAATGCCAAAATAAGCTCAATTCTGAAACCTACCATATCATAAAAACCTAGACCAACTGACATAATGAACAGGTTACAGGGTTCCAATGGAAAGATTAGGCCTGTCAAAAAAAGGTATCATTAAAATTTTTAAATTTTATTTTAAAGTAGCAAAGCCATTTCACTCATTTAATTGTTTTCTAAAGAGGATAAATGTTTGCATGATAAAATAAACATTTATGATTTAATGTACACAGTGTAAACATGAGAAGGATCATACTCATTAACAGATACAGACTGATCTTTCTTTTCTCTGAGACATATAAAAACATCCTTAAATAGATATAGCTATGTAATTTGACATATTTATGTAAGAGTTCTCCACATTCTCATTAAAAATAAGATTCCAACATCAATCATATCCTTTACCCATTACTATTTCAAAAAATCAAAATACAAAACCCTAGCTCTATGCTTTTGTTTTCAGTGTTCTCTTTATCTTTGTGAGCTAGCCAGTTACCTACTACAAGACATTAGTAATTCCTTGCTTTCCAAGTTATTTTTAGGGTGCTTTAGCTTTATTAAGATGTCCCCCAAATGCTAAAACATTAAATATTGAGTTTTCTCTTCTATGTCCATCCCAGAGATAGGAGATTTCTTGCTTCAAACCTCAGTGCACACATGTAAACACAATTACTCAAAACAAGGCAACAAGTGAGAAGCAGGGTTAAAATAAGAACTCAGACAATCTGACTCACAATCCAGCATTCAACTCCCTATAACTTGCTGTTTTCCTTTGTCCTCTTTCCTGGGAACCAAGATACTTGTTCTTTAGCAGGGTGTTTCTGCTGCAAATCCACTTGCTACTGCATTATGCAATGAAGTCAGAAGCCTGAGCTTGTGACATCAATATAGGTTGCTATGGTAACTCTTTCCATAAGTATTACAGGTTCATTGTGGGCTCAAAAAAGAGGACTTCAGCGTAGCAAAATAGCTGGCTTTATTCAGCCTAAATTACAACAATAATTGATGCCAAAAAATGTTTTAAACTAGCTATAACAAACACCAATTTTTACATTTATGCTTTGTATCATTATTGAAAGTCTTTTTCAACTATGTTAATTTTTTAAATGAAAATTCTCCAATAGAAATAGCCTTGCTACTGACCTTCTGAAATAAAGCTCCACAAGATAGGACGAAGAGGGTCTCACTGTAACGTGGTTTCTTATTCCATGCCTTGTGTCATTCCAGAAGCCAAGTAATGTTATGCATTATCTGTTTCTGAATTAATTCATAATAGCATGATTTAAATCATTTTCCCATTACAGAAATTATAAAAAGGTTCCAAGGAGTTGCACATATGAAAGCAATTTTAGATGGGACGTTTTCCCAGGGGCCATGTCCATTTTTAGCATAACAATAGGAAAGATCACTTTTTCTTACACCTGTTCACCCTTATTTCCCTGGAATATTGTTGTCAATGGCTCAACTGAAATGATTAAATCCATGTAGGAGATATTTAGAACAAATTCTTTCACTATTACATATTTTAAAATTTTAAACGTTTATTCAGTTTTTGTGTGACAAGCACTAGTGAGGGAGGGGCAGAGAGTGGGAGACACAGAATCTGAAGCAGGTTCCAGGCTCTGAGCTGTCACCAGAGAGCCCGATGCATGGCTCTAACCCACGAACTGTGAGGTCATGACCTGAAGTCGGCTGCTTAACTGACTGAACCACCCTGGTGCCCCACCATTACATTTTTTAAACCCAAATTTGAAGCACATGGCTGAATAATTACAAAGGCTGAATTCCTTTCTCCCATAGCTTCTTTTTGTTTGTTTATCATCCAGCATCAGCAGCATGAGGATCTTTAGTTCAATTCTACAGTCTTGCCTGGGCAGGCATGGCAGTTCCATGTGCTGGACTTTAGGTATAGATGCGTAAGACATAGTCCCTCCTGTGAAAAGCTCATACAACTAATATCAACAACAGTAACTAGTAATACTTACTGAATACCTGCTGTGTGCCAGGCAGCATGCTAAGCACTTTCCATCATTATCTTATTTAATCCTCATACTACAGTGAGAAAGAAAGGTACAGTTATCTCTATTAACAGAGAGAAGAACTGAAGTTAGAAAGGGATGGTCACTGACCTGAAGTCACACAGGTAGTTAGGAACATAGACAGTGGGGAAGGAGGAAGCATAGTGGTGAGGGTGGGGGAGGGAATTGCACCTGAGTGGCTTAGTCCATTAAGCATCTGACTTTGACCCAGACCATGATCTCATGGTCATTGAGTTCAAGCCCCATGTCAGCTCTGTGCTGACAGCTCAGAGCCTGCAGCCTGCTTCAGATTCTATATCTCCCTCTCTCTGCTCTCTCTCTCTCTCTCTCTCAAGTAAACATTAAAAAAATATTTTTAGAAAAAGGAACACAGCTGGGATTTGAATTTAGGACTAACAGACTCCAAATATTTATATGTTTTAATAGGAATGAAGAATAATTTCTTGTTATTCACTGTGGTAGAAATTGAAAATCGGATCATAATCCCACTGAGCAAGGACTGCTTGACATAGAATTCACTGAAGCAGAAAGCAGATGATAGTTTTCAGGTGAACTTCATAAACACTTTCAATGACTGACTTTTCTGTTTTTGTAACACTCAGCAGTTCAGAAAGTGTTTGCCTGAAGACATTTTTATTCCCCTAGGTTATAAATGAAAATATCTCTCAAAAACATTGGTTCTATCACTTTACTTAGACTCCTACACTGATATTCTAATATGCTCCAAGCTACCCTACTATCTTGAGACCAGATAAATAGATCAGCGATTTAACTTGTAGAGTGTTGCATTTTACAAATTATACCAAACATTTATCCATTCAGCACAAATTTATTGAGCCACTTTTATGACTCAGGCACTGTGCTCAGGGTTAGATATGACACTGGAGCAAAAAGGTGAAATAGTCCCCAAATTAAAAGAGTCTAAAAGGAGAGAAAGACTCGATCAAATAACAACAGAAATAAATGTAAAATTGGAACTGTGTCCAGAGAATAGAAAATAAGAAACACTGAAAACAGACAACCTAAGCATTCAACCCTAAATGATATAAAGAGAGAAACACAAAGAAGCAGAGGGAAGAAAACAATGAGGAGAAGCAAAGTCTAAAGAAATGTAATTCGACATATGACGGGAATGTCAACCAAACCAAACTGGTTCTTTGAAAAGATGAATAAAATTGACAAACTTCTGGCAAGATTGATCAAGAAAACAGAGATAAGACAAAGGTAAACAATATTTGAAACAGCATAAACAACACAGAGTTACAACAAAGACTTAAAAAGGAAATAAGATTTTAAAAAAGGAAATAATATATAATAAACTTTATGCCCATACATTTGGAAGCATAGAAAAGAAGGAAAAAATTGATCAAGAAGAAACCAAAACTTGGATAGACATAATTACCAAAGAAATTGAATTGAAAATATAAAATCTTCCCAGATAGATTTTAGCAGCAGGTCTAGATGATGTTACAGGCAAATCTACCAAAATTTAAGGATCGATAATTCCAATCTTACAAACCTTTCTAAATAATTGGGGGGGGGGGGAGGAACTATCTAAATAAATTATTTTATGAGTCTAGTTTAATTTTATTAAAACAAAAAATTAAACAAGAGCAGTATGAGAACAGAAAAATAAAGAACAATATCTTCCATGAACATAAACACAAAAATCTTAGAGTATAAAATACAGCAAAGTAATAAGTTCTATATCCCTCTCCCTCTTCCAAGTTAAACATTAATCAATATTTTTGAACCTATCATTATTTCCTTACTTTACATTTCAGTAATAATGTCCAACTGTGATGTTCACATGGATCCACTTTCTCTTTCATACTTCTGTGCCTTTCCGGATAATGCTCCCTCTACCTAGACCTGCATTCCTCACTTTTTAAAAACTAGATAATTCTGGGGCGCCTGGGTGGCTTACTCGGTTAAGAGTCCGACTTTCGCTTGGGTCATGATCTCGCGGTTCGTGGGTTCGAGCCCCGCGTCGGGCTCTGTGCTGACTGCCAGCTCAGAGCCTGGAGCCTGTTTCACAGTCTGTGACTCGCTCTCTCTCTCCTAGAAATAAATAAAACTTCAAAAAAAAAAAACCTAGATAATTCTTACATACCTTTCAGAAACCACCATAATAACTCTCCTTCTGGCCAGACCATTTTCTTACAGTTTAACATATACTAGTTTGTGTGAAATATTTTATTGGGTGTCTTTCCCACAAAGAACCATATGGTTACAGATCATATAGTTTCCATCTTTTAACCCTCAGCTATTAATAATATTTGCCTGGCATATCGTAGGTGTCTGGAATGTAGCTAAACCTTTTGAATCAAAGTCATTTATAAAGTTTGTGTTTCTACCACATCGTCTGCTAGACTAATAGACTGACTTTCATTCAATTTTTTAGTATCACCTATAGTTTATACTATCCACATCCTTACATATCCCATATGTTTATATGTAAAATTTGTGTCATTTTTTAAAGTGGGCCCCAATGCGGAGCCCCACATGGGGCTTGAACTCACAACTCTAAGATCAAGACCTGAGCTAAGATCAAGAGTTGGATGCTTAACTGAGTCCCCTAGCTTCCCCAATACGTGTCATTTCTTACAGATACTTTTATGTGTTCTTTCAGCTTCCTTTTTATTCTTAATTTTTTGTAGTGTTAAGGTGTAGAAAGTGATTATTTGATACATGCATATATTGTGAAATCATTACCACAATAAGATTAGTTAACACCTCTATCACCTTGCATACTTAATTTTTTGTGTGTGGTGAGGACATTTAAGACCTACTCTCTTACAACTTGCAAGTACACAATATAGTATTCTTCATTATATTCACCCTAGGACTTATTCATTTTATTACTGGCAGTTTGTGTCCTTTGACCAACATCTTTCCATTCCTCTACAGCTTAGTCCCTGATTTCATTTTATCATGAAAGGAAGTTGAATTTTCTCAAATGCTTGTTTCTGGGGTTTTTTTTAGATAATTATATTATTTTTATTTTTATCATTCATTCTATTCACGTGACGTATCACATTCACTGAATGGCATATGATGAACCATCCTTGCATCCCAGGAATAAATGCCACTTGATCATGATATATAATCCTTTTAACTTGCTATTGAATTCAACTTGCCAGTATTTTGTTAAGAATTCTGCATCTTTATTCATCAGAAATGTTAGTCTGTCCTTCTCTTTTTTCATGGTGTCCTTATCTGGCTTTGGTATCAGGGTAATGTTGGCCTCTCAAAATGAGTTTGGGAGTGTTCCCTCCTCTTCTATTTTTTTTTTTTTTTGTAAAAATTTAAGCAGGATTAGCATTAACTCTGTTGCAGCAGTTTCACAGGGTTCTCACTTGTCTCCCTATCCTGTCAGCCATAGGATGTACTCAAGCTGCCCAGCATTTCTGGCCAGGCTTCCTGTTTGGAGGGGCTGGAGGCTACACGAAACAGATGGGCAGAGCCAGTGGATTTCTTCTCCGTTCATGTATGGATCTAGAATGGACTCTGAGGTCAGAACAGACCTTTAGTTGGAGACCTACAGCAGGCAAAGCTGCTAACCAAGGAACCCAACCAGACAGAGCCATCCATCCTTATCCTTAAAGCTTCGCTTTTCATATCTACCCCAAATCATAGTATCTCTATTCCATTTCTGTACCAAGATTGATTTTAGACTTCTGCAATTTTTGCTCAATTCAGAAATTCGGGCAATTTTTTTGGGAGGTTCCTTTTTTTTAAGTTTTCATTTTAATTCTGGTTGGTTAACGTGCAGTGCTATATTAGTTTCAAGTGTA